GGGGGGGTCACGAGGAACAAGATTAAGAACCGCTGCTTAATACCATTGGGTCTCACCAACTACGTGACAACGTAGTGCTAAATCACCATTCAACAGACTCAAGCCACCACCGCACAAACTAGTTAGCAACTTACTGTTAAGACAACGCTTGAATGCTGCTGCCTGAACAAGAGACCTCCTTACTGAAGAGAAAGGCTTGGCTGGTGTCCCTATCTCACCAACGCGGCGGCGGATCTCCACCAAATTCGGGGGATCCCTTTAGCTCGAGAAGCCCACTCAAGAGGAGGCAGGGGAGGCGGGGGGGGGGGGGGGGGGGGGGGGTCACGAGGAACAAGATTAAGAACCGCTGCTTAATACCATTGGGTCTCACCAACTACGTGACAACGTAGTGCTAAATCACCATTCAACAGACTCAAGCCACCACCGCACAAACTAGTTAGCAACTTACTGTTAAGACAACGCTTGAATGCTGCTGCCTGAACAAGAGACCTCCTTACTGAAGAGAAAGGGTTGGCTGGTGTCCCTATCTCACCAACGCGGCGGCGGATCTCCACCAAATTCGGGGGATCCCTTTAGCTCGAGAAGCCCTCTCGAACGCCGCCCTCCGCACATTGGTAGCTCCTCGGAATCGGTGCCCGACGGTGAATTTGACCGGCCGTAATTCCAGGACCCCAAGGGCTATCGACACTAGGGCTGTCCAAATGACTTAAAAAATTATATTTGAATTTAAAAGGCATAATTTCAGTTAGGGGGAAAAAGCTTTTAGCTTCTCTCCTGAGGCCACAAGAGGGCACATCGAGCAAAATATTATGCACGTAATAAAAAAGCGTAATAAAATAACATGACTATCTTTGAAAAAAATAATGTTTAAAATAATGTTTATAAACCATATATAATTAATAAAGTTGCTTAAACAATTAGAAAAAAACCCGTGCATGTATGAATAGTTTAATACAAAGGACCGAAAACCAATCAAAAAGAGTAGGCTACCGTCTTCATTTAAAAACATGAGATAGAGTGGGATGGGGAAAAACTGCCATAACGTCTTTAGACATGTTTTTTAAAAGTTGAACTTGCATTAATTTTACATGGCTTTCTAAACATGCCACTCTCTAGTGCGAGACGTGAGTGCTACGCTGATAGATGTCCCTCTAGAAAATGTGATAAATATGTGTTCTGTGTGAACGGCTTGGTTTCAGTTTTGACGTAAACAACATCTTCTCCACACTGATGCTCTCGTTTTCCGCAATACATGAATGAACAACGTAGCAGCGCCGCATCTAATGGGTTCAACTGGATACAAAAGCATTCAAATGCAATCAATGACACATACATCATCATTGCATCTCGTGCGCCACTGATAAGGCTGCCTGATGGCTGACGCAGACCTTAAAATCGAATGCAACATTTTGCATGTTTTTTTTTAATTCGACTAATATTCAAAATTCAAAAAAATTTTTGACAGCCCCAATCGACACGGAGGTGGTCTCATTCGAAAGGGGGCCTCGAGATGTACATTTGATTAAGCATTCGACAGGGATCCTCGAGCTGATGGGATCCCCCGAATTTGGTGCTGATCCACCGCACCGTTACGGAGATATGGCCATTCAAATTTTCAATGGTATTCCATACACTTAAGCTTTAAAGCATTTCATCCAGATCGCCAGTTGCAAACAATGGAGTGCATTCTGCTGGACAAACTAAGTTATTACACCATTTACAAGCAATTTATCTGCTTTTTATGTTCTGTAAAAAATCAGTGGCATTATGCCTGTCGTAATAATCAATATATTGACTTATCGCGCAATATATGTACATGACCTCTATCATTTTTGGTGACGCAATATTTAACCCATTATATTTAATAAAAAATTAATGTCACCATGTTTTGTACATTCCACTTGTGCCTGTGTCTTTTGCAGCTTCTCAAATATAACGTGATATAGTCATGAGGTGCTCAAAAAAAAAAATCAATGGCAACCAAAACTGTTTGGTTACCAACATTGTTTAAAATATCTTCTTTTATGTTCAACAGAAGAAAAAAATCATACAGGTTTAGAATAACACGAGAGATGATGAGAGAATTTTTCATTTTTGGGTGAGCTGTCCCTAGAAGTTTATGTTGAACCCTTACAATACCAACTGTAATTAACTTTTTAGTGTTGTTGGGTATTGATGCAGCTCATAACATTCCTGTTCCTAATAAGAGCAAACATACTGGCATAACCTTCTGGAAATATACTGCCTATTTACTACTTGTGTTTTTGAACAATCTGAGCCAAACATTCCCTACAAACAACCTTCTCAGCAAACCTAATAAAGCAAACATTGTTACTGTCAGTCAATCTATTAACACAAAGGCCACCTGAAATGGAACAAACGGGCAGTTAACACATGTCTCATTGGCATTCTGTACAGGAAAACTGTGCTCCTAATAACAGTAAACAAAAGTTTACCATCTCATGAAAAATAGGAAAAAGACAAAAAAATAGTTAAGTTCTGTCAGTAACAGCTTTGTGTGAATAAGTGCATGTCAGACTCGCATCAGAACTGAGTAAACACACATGCAGTCGCATGCAAACGCACATATACACATGATGGGAATGAGGTGCCACGTGGCACAATTTCAGACCAGGACTAAAATAGAAGGCATGTGATTTTCCCCTCCATTGCAGCCTCAATGAAGGTCCTACAGAAAACGAATGAGACGCAATAAAACCTGCACCCTCACAGGCACACACCACATCCACACTGGGCCACACACCTGTTGCTTTCAACTTCTTATTGTGCTGACTGCATTGAGAATTTAAGATCTACAATGAACCTGTATGAATTTCTTTCTTCTGCTGAACACAAAAGAAGATATTTTGAAGAATGTGGGTAACTAAACGTTTTGTTTTTTTTCCCAAACTATGGAAGTCAAGGGGGACCAGCAACTGTTTGATTACCCACTTTGTTCAAAATATCTGCTTTTACTTTAGTTGTTAAGAACACACTTCCTTGATTTCAAACGACGTTTGCATTTCAGAAGGGTAGACAAGAATAATTCATATTTAAACTGGGGAGTTAGTTTTGAGTTCTGAAACTTGCAATATATTTCATGACACCTTTAAAACATAAAGCATTTTCAAAAGCATAAAAAAAGACTGAATCAAAACTTTTGACGGTAATGTATTAAAACAAACTAACTGATAGGATATTGAATAATATCTAAAACATAAATAATTTATGTAAGGGTGTGACCATAGGTGTGGGCGATATGACCAAAATCTTATTTCATGGTATGAGAAATTTTATTTCACGATAACGATATGTGCCTCGATATAGCTATTTTTATTTTATTTTTGTTATTAAAATTAATAAAAATAAGCTAATTACAAGCACAACAGAACAAATAAATATGAAATAAACTTTTAATTTATTTAGCTACAGTAGGCTAGGTTTATTTAACATTTAATAAGAAATATTACAGAAATTGAATAACGTGTATAAATAAAACACTGTATTGTCTTCTTCATTGTATCAATCAAACATGATTAACATTAATAATGACAGACAGCAGCAGGTAAATAAGGCTGCTGTCCCTTTAAGACCAACTGCACTGATCCAATATACTGAAACACATCCGGTTTTCACCCAACTGTTTTACATTTATTTAACATATAACCGACTGTTTTTACTTGAATACTCCACACGACGGGCATTATGACATTACTGTGTGCATATTTGACCATTCAAGCACAATAAAACACGAAAGAGATCTGTTTTCACGATCGCATGCTGTCTGAGAGGGGCTTTCAGTGCGCGCGCTTCGGCTGTGTCAGTGCGAGCACCGCATCGAGTTATTTTTCACTGCTTATTGCACTTAATAACTCTAGTCTCTACCAAGTGCGTCCCACTCTTTATTTTCTCATTCATGCATGTTTCCTTATCACTCAAAAGGTTTATAACGTTTAAGCAGTACTGTGTTGTGTGCATACCGCGGAATACACGATATAGCAAAATCTCTAACGATTGACACTTTATTTCGTGGTAACGATATACAGTATACCACCATACCGCTCAGCCCTATGTGACCATCTTCACCAAAGCAGATCACCACGTACTATCGCTGATGCCAGGTATCACATAAATATTCCTGTTCCCACATCTTTTCATGTTAATGACAGGAAGCTTAAAAGACTTAATCCAACAGAAGTTTTTTTTCTAATAGCGAAATAGAACAGAACAATACTGCACATCTCAGTAGTAACTCAAGCTGGAAGACTGGATAAATGCTGAAAGACCACAAGTCATAACAAAGAACATGTAACAATAGGATTAGAGTTTAGTTTTTGTTTTGTTTTTCTACCATATAAGATTCCCCTGTGACTTCTTATTTAAAAGCAAAGAAGTTAACCTGAGGGTTAACTGCCGAAAACACCTGCCACACTACTCCCTGGAGATAAACACACACTAATATTCATCACCACAGTTTAGTCATTTTTGCTATCAGCTCAAGAAAGCTGTCGGACATAGATTATGACTCCAGCTACTGTAATCATACATGCAAATCTACATGCAGGAACTATTGTAATGTTTGCATTGTGTAATTTGTTGAGTATGGTCACCTGTAGCCTCAGGTAGCCTGTTGCATTATTACACAACATAATTCCACCAAAATAAGTTTGGACATACATCCAAATAACTAAAATCAAAGAAAAGGCACCAACCGGTGCATGCATAAAATGTACAACATAATATGGAGACCGTGTAACACAGCTTACCGTGTAAAGGCCAATCCTACACAGGGCTATTGAGAGCTGAACGTGTTCTGACATCGTCCCCAGCAACAGCGTTACCCCAGACAACAAACAAGCCGAGCCAGAGTAACTGGATGAGGACAAGAGGATGGCTTTGAAGAGGGAACAGAGAAAGACACTATATGAAGACAGAGATTCAATGGTTCTTCTTCAAATGAAAGGATGGAGAAAAGAGGAAACTGTTCTATTCATTCCCATTCATAAATAAACAAGAGCTAGAGGTGGGTGAATACTCGGGGAGAGAGAGAGAGAGAGACAGAGAGACAACAACTAAAGGGGATTAGTAGCAGTCTCAAGAGATTATCAGCTCAGTGACTCGTATTGCAAAATAAAACTGCTAATTGGATTAGTTACTTTTACACACCTACACACAATGAATTATATAGAATTGCAAAAAAATTGTAGCCACTGTCAGAAATGTACTGAAGTTTGCCTGAAATAATCACATTATATATTCTGATGAGCTATATAATAATGTAAAGATGTGTGAACAGTTCTCTCTTCCCTCTACAAAGGAAATGCTAATGAATACAATGATGATAATAGTGATAATTGTGTCTTCCTCAGTGAAAGAAAAACTCAGAAAGAGAGTTAGAAAAGTACAAGTTGAAAGCTAACATTATCACAGCATGCAGCTGGTGTGTCAAAATAATATACAGTTATTAAGGTCTCAAATGTTCGACATAAATTAGATTTTTAGTCTTTTCATTCACATGAAAATAATATACTTTTAGCTTTATTCAAAAAGGATACATTAAATTGATCAAAGGAGGCAGTAAAAGCGTGTTATGCATTATTATGACAAACATTTCTATTTCAAATAAATGCTGTTTATATGAACTTTGCATTCAAACAACCCTGACAAAAGTACCATGGTTTCCACAAAAATATTAAGCAGAATAAAAATTTTCAACCTTAGTGGTAAAGAAATATTTCTTATCAAATCAGCATATTAGAATGATTTCTAAAGCTTTGGATAAAAGCATATGCTAAATGAACAAGCGTGAAGTGTAAAACATAAATTAGATTTTTAGTCTTTTCATTCACATGAAAATTAAATTACTTATATACCAGGTAATATACTTTTAGTTTTATTCAAAAAGGATACATTAAATTGATCAAAAGAGGCAATAAAAGCGTGTTATGCATTATTATGACAAACATTTCTATTTCAAATAAATGCTGTTTATATGAACTTTGCATTCAAACAACCCTGACAAAAGTACCATGGTTTCCACAAAAATATTAAGCAGAATAAAAATGTTCAACCTTAGTGGTTAAGAAATATTTCTTATCAAATCAGCATATTAGAATGATTTCTAAAGCTTTGGATAAAAGCATATGCTAAATGAACAAGCGTGAAGTGTAAATGTGGATCATTTGACACTGAAGGCTGGAGTAAAGGCTGAAACATCTTACCAACCCCAAAGTTTTGTACCCTCCCAAACAAGCATACAAATCCAAAGACATAAACAAACAGTATTCCAGGCCTACTGATGTGTTCAGCCAGTCTGAAATTTTCAGCGGACCTTTGTTGCCAAATATCTAGTCTACTGTATGGCAAAACAAATTTCCAGCATCTATATATGTACTCATAATAAACATCCACAAGGTGGCAGCATTGATTTATCATTCATGTCTGTTTGTTAACTATCACACTTGACAGAACAAAAACTTTTAAGGTATGCCCTTTGTCAACATGCCAAAATCATTTGTAAATATCTTTAACCTTTAAATATCCTTTTATCCTTAAAAATAATACCAATATCCTTTAATCCTTTAAAGTAAATGTCTACTATTTTAATATATTTTAACATGCAATGTACTCTTGTGATAGCAAAGCTGAATTTTCAGCAGTCATCACTCCAGTCTTCAGTGTCACACGATCCTTCAGAGATCGTTCTAAAATCCAGTTTTTTTCAGGATTCTTTGATGAATAGGAAGTTCAAAAGAACTGCATTTATTTGAAATCTTCAGTAACATTATAAATGCCATTCCTGTCAATTTTGATCAGTTTATTGTGTCCTTTCTGAATAAAACTTAATGTCTTAAAAAAATGTAAATAGTGTAGAAGTGAAAGCAGTGTAAATAGTGTATTTAACAACATTAATGTGTCATGCTTGTAGAGTATAAGCTTCCTACATAGTAATATATGACGATATCAGTTCTCTTTGCCTGCTCTAAAAATGGTCCATCCTGTCCCTGGCCCAGAAACTTAAGCAGGGGACTGTCTTTTAATAGCTTTGGTTGGTCCTACCGGCATTGCACTACTTCACATTCACTACACAAAAAGCCAAGGGAACCTCTGCGCCCAGTGTCATGGAAGGAGAGGGGATCACTATTTCCCACTGGATAGCAAGCCCTGTGTGCTACCAGGAGCACTTCAAAACCAGGAATCTCACTGAATGCACTGAAGATCATCGACTGTTTGCCCTGCCAGGACCTGAATGTCTGCCGGTTAAAATGGACACTGAAGGGAGGCAAACAGTCACTGAGGACGAGGATTCAGGAGAGCCATTATTTCAAATCCTGCTGGACGTGACTCAATTTAAACCAGAAGACATCCTCATACAGGTCTTTGAGGGGCGGCTGCTGATCAGAGGTTGGCACGGGGTGAGGATGGACGAGCATGGGTTTGTGTCACGGAGTTTCACCAGACACTACCAGCTGCCTGACCATCACCTCCAGGCGAGGGACCTCAAAGCCATGCTGTGTCGTGATGGGATACTAGTGGTGGAGACCAAGGACCGATGGTGGCCAGCGTGTGATTAGGACAACACAGTGATTTAACACCATTCATCAGGACATGAACAAACTTGGGCTGTGTTAGTTGAGCATTTTTGTTGTGATCAGTTATCCGGTAAAGCAATCACATTCTTTGCTGTTGTATGACAGTTTCGCTTTGTTTTGCATGTCCCAAGATGTTCAACATTCAGCTTGATTTCCTGCATAATGCGTAGTGGCAAAAATTAACAGTTCTATTAAATAAAAAAGACTCATATGTTCACATTATATAGGCCTACCCTAAATTATTTCAAATCGGCATCAAGTATGTATCAGCTCCCTTGCAGGAATGTGATTAAGCTTCATGACATCTCATTATGTCACTGTGCAAGCACGTCTGTCAGCATGCCAATACTATAACGCAGCGATAATGTATTAAGGATTTTTTTTTGGCAAACCTGTTTACAAAGCATTCACCAGCGGACATCATCATAACTTATATTTATTCTTTAATTAAAGAAGATTTAATTCTTCATGTCTGTGTCATACTGCATTTTAATCGCACAGATATAAATGTAGTTGATAAACCGTCTTAAAAGTCGCTTATGAAAGAAATTCGCCTACATAGCGATGTCCGATTCGTGAACTAATTCTACTTTTGAATCGGATCTTTCAATGAATCTATTTTGGCAATGACCAATTCGTTATAGTTGATAGAACATATGAAGCAGGGATTAGAAACAAAATGTATTTCCGTCTCTGTCAGTTTTAAGCAGGAACGGTATTTTAATAAAACTGATAAAAGGTTGTTTAAAATGTACGGAGCGCTGCGCTAATGAATATAAATGTTCAATGTCATGAAATGACTTTTTTTTCAAATACAGCTGCAGGTGTTATCTGGCCATTTAATTTTACCACATTAATGTTTGTACTTTAGATCAAAGTTATTTTGATAAATTACAAAACTTACCACAACATCGCCTTCTTGCAGAATCTCAACGGTCGCCACATTCAGTCTGAGAAGATTAACGTTAATTCCATTCACAGAAGCATTGTTTAAAATGTACGGAGCGCTGCGCTAATGAATATAAATGTTCAATGTCATGAAATGACTTTTTTTTTCAAATACAGCTGCAGGTGTTATCTGGCCATTTAATTTTACCACATTAATGTTTGTACTTTAGATCAAAGTTATTTTGATAAATTACAAAACTTACCACAACATCGCCTTCTTGCAGAATCTCAACGGTCGCCACATTCAGTCTGAGAAGATTAACGTTAATTCCATTCACAGAAGCGCGCGCGCGGGTAAATGAACCAGGAAATGGCCATGTTTACTGAGAAATGTGATTGGTTTCATTAAAAAAATATATAGGAACGAAATAATTACGGTATTAACCCGTTAGCAGCAACAACAACAACAAAAAAACATTTTCGGTCAGAAAAAAATTAAATGAAACAAAAATGTTTTAGCTTTGTTTCGAACCGTCTGAATGGAGGATTTGACTAATGGATTAAGATGCTAAATTAATATCTGAGTAGTATAAATGTAATACATATAAAACATGTAGGCTACTTGAAACATGTTTACAACTTCATTGTATGACGAAGTTGTCAAATCACATACAAAACAGAGCTGGTTTTAATAACTTGCCAAACGATTTAATCCAAGAGATGAATTTTTGTATTATTTAATGTAATGCAAATCATAAATATTTCTAAATGACATAATGTTTATTGAGCTGAATCATGGCTGCAGAACTGGGACGCATGGAGGGAAAGTGTATATATGACTACACGTGGCATTTCATTAGGAGAATTTAATATTGTACCTTAATGGCGTGTTTTGTTGCAAATGAATCATTAAACAGTTCATTGTAAAGAACTGTTCAAAAGAACCGATTCTAGAAAATCAGTCACTCCTCACCATGTTAGATTTGATTCGTGCTGCCTGGTAGTTAGCTCCGCCCTCGACTACCCGGACTGCTTGTGCTCGGCGCTGCCGCTGTTCAGTGTTCAGGGTGAGGTGAGCGAGTGAACGCTGCTGTCGGAGTGGGACGGGCGCACAGCAACGGGGCTCTGGACGGTAAACTCCACAGATGAAGAAATTACTACAGCTCTGAGGTTTTTAACCAGGACAGCTGATTGATCGTCAGGTTATCGTATGACCAGTGTGAAGAGGACGCTGGAAATAGTGGGTTTACGGTTCCCTCAGCTGAAGCGCAAGTTGTTGTCAGTACTGCAGGTCAGCGAGTGAGTGAGTGAGTTTGGCTTGGAGTTAGCTAGCTGATACGCTAACCTTTTACGCTTTTAAATTCATCGCAGCTTGGAGAAATGGCTTTGCGAGCGAGAGCTCTGTATGACTTTAATTCAGAAAACCCAGGAGAGATATCGGTGAAAGAGGACGAGATTGTAACTCTGTACAGCGAGCAGGGCGTTGAGGGCTGGCTGGAGGGGGCGAACAGCAGAGGGGAGAGAGGGCTCTTGCCTGCGTCCTACGTCGAGATTTTGAGAAATGACACCGTCTCGTCTTTTAACCACAACTCTCGATATCCCACTGGTGGTTTTGACATCAAAAATCAGACTCAAGAGAGCTACAACACTGCACCAGCATCCGGCTTCACAGCCTACCATGCACTACCTCAGCAACAACAACAACATCCAGGGACTCCAGCCAGTGATGATGATTGGGATGATGACTGGGACGATCACTCGTCTGTAGCTGATGAACCAGGGGTTGTTGGTAGAGGATATAGGAATTATGAAGGAAACGGACCCTCTGGCTACAGCATCTCCACCTCCTCCATGCCTAGAGGTGCACAGCAAGCCAAAAGTTCAGCCACAGTGAGCAGAAATCTGAACAGGTTCTCCACTTTTGTGAAGTCAGGAGGTGAGGCGTTCGTGCTGGGGGAAGCGTCTGGCTTTGTGAAGGATGGGGATAAAATCTGCGTGGTGATGGGTCAATATGGTCCGGAGTGGCAGGAGAACCCGTACCTGTTCACTTGCAATATTGATGACCCCACCAAGCAGACGAAATTCAAAGGCATGAAAAGTTACATTTCCTACAAGCTGACGCCGACCCACACACAGAGCCAGGTCAACAGAAGATATAAGCATTTCGATTGGCTCTACGCCAGATTGGTGGAGAAATTTCCTGTCATTTCGGTGCCACACATCCCTGAAAAACAAGCCACTGGTCGCTTCGAAGAAGACTTTATTTCGAAAAGGAGAAGAGGGCTGATATGGTGGATGAATCATATGACCAGTCACCCTGTACTAGCCCGGTGTGATGTTTTCCAGCACTTCCTCACCTGCTCCAGCATGGATGAAAAGTCTTGGAAGCAAGGGAAGCGGAAAGCCGAGAAGGACGAGATGGTCGGTGCCAACTTCTTCCTCGCCATCAGCACTCCAGCAGCCCCTCTTGACCTGCAAGACGTTGAAAGCAGGATTGACGGATTCAAGGCCTTCACCAAGAAAATGGATGACAGCGCAATCCAAGTCAATGCCACGCTCAGCGAGTTCGCGAGGAAGCAGATAGCCGGGTTTAAGAAAGAGTATCAGAAAGTGGGACAGTCTTTTAAGTATCTAAGTCAAGCATTCGAGATAGACCAGCAGTCGTACTCGGTCGGTTTGAACCAAGCAATTGCATACACAGGGGAAGCCTACGAAGCTATTGGAGACTACTTTGTGGAGCAGCCTAAACAAGATGTGGACCCACTGATGGATTTGTTAGCCCTGTACCAAGGACACCTTACCAACTACCCTGATATCATCCATGTACAGAAAGGTACGCATTTGCTTGTTTATTTGTATAATCATCGTAGAAATATACATGAAACTGTGTTTAGCCTGAGATCAGTGGGTATGAAAGAGAACAGAGTCACCTGCTCTCAGAATTGTTTGCTTTGCTTGACTGATTTGTTTGCATTGAAGTGCCACTGATGAGTTCACTGACCATCACTGGCCTGGTTTCGTCTGACTGCTGAGTCACATGGGCTGAGCTGTTGCTGACGTGTTTTGTATTTTTCCTGTGGCTGGTAAATCAGCCACATACAATGACAAAGACTGAAACTATTGACGTACTGCATTGTTCAAGAAAGGTTGACAGGGGAGTTTCAGTACACATGCAATCATTCAGTGAATGGCATTGATTAGAGCATGGATGTTATTGTGACATATTTCTGACACTTAACAATTTATAATGTCCTTGATCCTATTACAAAGCAAGAACATTTTATTTCAAATCAAAACATGTAGGAATGCTTCATTTTTATCTAAAATCATGATGCTCCTGAATGTAAATAAGGTCCTCTGAGGGTGCAGGATGTGTAAAAATCACACCTTCAGGTGCTTGAATATTTATGACACTTACATTAACATTTGCAGATATATGTGAGACTTTACCATCGCAAAGCTAGCGTTCCTACTGTATGAGATCACTATTTAGATAGACTTCCTTTTTTGGCTCAGTTATTTTTAAGATCGAGCCACTAGCTTGTTTTTAGGTCTCACAAAACGCATGATATCACATAGGCAAAATTTTGCAATAAAGACAATGTTCATTTTAAACAGTCATTGATTGTAAAGGGTGTTTTTTTGTCTTCTCTCAGTTTCTCTGCAGTTACATCATGCAGTAGTCAACATGATGTGAAACAAAATGAAACGGCCAAGCAAAAACCCATATCTATTATATAAGAAACGTTTATTGTCACAACCTTATGAGCCCAGAGGCAACACTTCACTATTAACTTACTAAAAAGATAAAGGGGAAAAAACCTTACCATTTTACCAACTTTACCATTCAAAAGTTTTGGGGTCAGTAAGACTTTTTTTTTTTTTAAGAAAATCAATGCTTTCTTTAGCAAGGTTGCATTAATATTTATTGTAATATTAAAATGTATTATTAAAAAGGTTTTATAATATAGTGTTGTTTATATACTCATTGTCTTGTATGTTTTTATAGAGAGTCTGACTTGAATTATAGGAAACCTTGAATTTTACAAGCTGTTTGAACAGTCCACATTTATGTGGCAACTTGTCGTAACCACAACATGAACAAATAGTGTGCTTTGTCAAAGCCCACAGAGATGTTTATGAGCTACAGGGTAAATGTATGCATTGATTTGTCTACACCTTGTGGGAATATAGTGAATGTTTTGATCTTTTTGTTCACAAAAGCTTTAAAAAGTGGTCTAAATTTAGCTAGATTTATTTTCATGAGTCTTAAATGTGCAAACCAGATGTTTAATACAGTCTGGTGCTATAGACACCACTGTCACTCTATTGTGTCTGCACAATGCTTTTGAAAAATAGAAATGCTGTGTCGTACTTCCAGCAGAGAGGCCTCAGTCTGTGACAGATCCAGCTGACAGTCTAGCACTGAGGTCACCTGCAGCTTGCTGAAGCCCATATGCCATACATGAGCATTTGCCAAAAATTTAATTGTATTTTTAGCCAATTCTTATTGCCATTGTCACCATATAATGTTAGAATGGAAGAAACGGCCTTATTATAGATGAATGCTGTGAGAAATACAAATGCTATGAGAAATGACACCTTTTCTCCATTGCATCTGTGGTTTTACCCACTATTTCACAGTTAACTTGAGCAAACATCTACAGGTCGTTAAGAAACAATCTTCCAGACCTTGAATTAGTTAGTAGAAAACTATGAGCAAACCTGTCCACTTTCCATCACCTCTGTGTCATTCAAACCCCTCGAGGAGTGTGTGGGGGGGCATATAATAACTTCCTGCCTCATCTCCCCATAGGCATTCATTTATCTTTCAGAAGTAATAATGATCATTTTGTCTCTGAATTTTAGTTATATAGCTGCATTTGTTGCAGTTTCATCTTATTGTCCTTACCGCTCACATGCTGCTGTCACCCTTTTAATAAATCTCATGGCACCTCAAAAATAATGCTTAAAATACTCCTAACAACTAAACTACAACATACCTCAGTAAACAACAGATAAAGGCTTCTGATCTGTGTAACCCAATATAATCTGTTTGCTGTTTTTTTTTTTTTTTGTAAGATTATCAAATTTCAAGGCAGTCATAATGTCCATGGGGATAAATGATAGGGCTGCTTTTTAAAAATAAAATAAACATGAGCACAGCATGTATTGATTTGTGTCACTATAGAGCCTCCATTAGCAATGGAGTTGAAGGTAGAGAGCCATTAGTGAACATACTGACATTGATATTAAATGGGATCCTTTTTTCCATTGCTTCTCTGTGATGTGCAGTGAAATATGTGGTTCTTTTGACAATGCGAGGAAATAATGACTCATGTGATGTGGTTATTATAACTGGGGAGGTTAGCATTATGCATAGACCCTCAACCACCCACTGCAAGGCTAGCTGCAACCTGTTGTCTGTTTTTAACACATATCCAGTGTTCAGTGTGTTGGCTGTATGTCTAAGCATTTGAGGGTATATGTCTGAAAAGACTCTCATTTAGTGTAATTCAACTTATGTTTTCTCTCTTTCATGAAACACAATATTTGCTATAGTGTGCTGTATTTCTGTGTCTTCTGAAGCCAAAGATAGTTTTAGATAGTTTTAGTGTAAGACAGAAGCTTCATTTACATGCACAATCTGAGGGTCATTTTCTCTGTCAGAAAATTTTGAATGTATCTTCCAAAAGTATTTGTATCTTTAATAATTAAGTTGCATGATTATTGTAGGTGTTTGTCTGAAGCACTGTGAAAGAAGCACCTATTCACAAGTCTAATTTGGCCAGTCCAATCGAGTCACACATTCCTCAGATAATTTTCTGTAAACTGAAAATTATATTATCTACCCACCCTTTTTTGTTTGTGGAACACAAAAGGACACCTCTTTTTATTTACACTACATAAATTCATAATGAGCATGATTCAAAAAATGTATAGTTCAGCCATGAATCTCTATTCACGTTCTAATTGGTTTGTTCAATTCAGTGTTCCCAGCCAATTGGATTCACATACTCTCATTACTGTTTACCTATGTAATCAGGTCTGTGTGCTTTGCATGTCTTCATATTAGCCCACCGCCTCCCCAGCACCACCTGCCTAGATCTGCTATGTGGATCTTCCTCTCTCTAGCAGCAGCATGTTTATTACTTTTAAGTTTATGATCTGAGCATTTAGAAGAAGCAAGTTGCTCTGCAGCAGCAGCAGATCTAGTCCTCCAAGACCAAACCTATGCACATTCTATTTACATTAATAAAGATCTATATTACAATCTATCCCAAGAGTTGTCTTTTATGCTCACCAAGGCTGCATTTATTTAATCAAAAACGCAGTAAAACATAATTTTGTAATTTTTAGTAATTTTGTGAAATATTATTTAATATAAATATTATTATTATATTATTTTGAATATATTCTAAAAAGTAATTTAATACTATGATGGTGAAACTTAATTTTCAGCAGCCCCCAATTTGCTGGTTTGGTGCTCAAAAAATATTTATTATTAGTAATAGGACTTGTTCTGGTTGCAGTTCAATGGCAGGACTGTGTTGTGTAATAGCACTAGAGGTCGACGATTAATCGGGCCGATTTTTGGCATTTTTTAATTAATCGCATCGGCCGTTTGTGCTGCAAATTAAGCCGATTTATAAGCAGGCGCATCTGCGGGCAGCTAAGCGTTGTTGAGGAACGCCGTACTGAGAATCTCTCTCTGGTGGCGTGAGCAGCTCACACTCTGCAGCCGCTGCTTGTTCTCACACAGCTTCAGCTGATGAAGGCAGGGCAAAACAGAACGTTTCGACCGTGCTTATCATATTCATAAGTGCAACAAGTCATTTGCATGTGAAAGTAGAAGCACGTGCATTTCAGACGAAACTTCTGGGCTGACTATAACGTGCACGTTAACTTTTCTCATGAAATGTGTCTGCGAGTCTGACAATAGCCTCCACAATGATAAGTGAACTCTTTTAGGGTGCTTTCACACCTGGGCTGTTGTTTCGGAACCTGGCACGTTTCCCCCCTTAGCTCGGTTCGTTTGGGCATATGTGAACACGGCAATCACGCCCGGATCCGCGCCAAAACAATCGGTCCAAGATCGCCTGAACGAGGTGGTCTCGGCTCGATTGAAAACAAACTCTGGAGCGGTTCAGTTGTAGTGAGAAGGCAATCTGATCCAACGGACCAACGAACCAGGCTATATCACAATTTATGATGGGTAATTATGTAAGTTCCGTGAAAAGCATTAGCTTTGTTGTTTTGCTAATACCTCAAAATGAACCTGTGAATGTCTGTGGGTGAGCACGTCTCTGCCATTCAAAAATCAAAGCGCACTTTAAAAAAATTTTTTTTTTTTATAATGCCGACTTATTGCTCTTCTTTGTAGTAGGTGCATTTTAAAAATCTTTTCCCAATCAATCATGGACTACTGCCCAAAATAATAAATTATTATAACAGCAGCTACAAAAAAACTACAACAATAAGCCGGCGAAGCTGTTATCGTTCCATCCTGACGGATGACATGCGTGACAGCTAAGTGGAATCCTGGAAAATAAATCGTGGAACATTGACCAATGATAGAACAGTTTACTTGCGCGTAACTTGTATTAACAAATTTGGTCCGTTTAGAAACTTCGCCCTGTGAAAGCGAACCGCACCAAGAATAAAAAGCAACATTGTAATAATTTTAATCCCTGTTTCGGGAAACAAAGCAATCGATCTACAGGTGTGAAAGCACCCTAAGTTTTGTTATCATGGCCATTTGACTTATAGCAGTGTCCAGTGTTTCCCATACATTGAGTTATTTGTGGCGGCTCGTCATAATATCAAAACTGA